TAAGTCCATCCTCCCCTCTTTCAACCCGGGGTATTCCCACCCCGGCACCCTCACTTTTTCGATCGCCATCGACCGCCTGCAAGCGATCACATACCCTCCCTCCCTGCCTCCCCTCATCGCTATCCAAAATCTTTGCAAGAGGGAGGCGGGGGGGGTGGCGGGAAAAGGAAGGAGGAGGAGGCCTTCGGGGAAGACATGTACGAGTGACGGACTATGATCCGGTTACCAACCACCATGCGGGGGCTTGTGTAGGAGGGGGGGAAGGAGGAGGAGGCAGTGGGGGAGGGGGGCGAATTGCTAAGCGGCCACACATCCTTCCATGCGCAGAGATCGGCCGACCTAAGTATCATGGTACGGTTTATTTATTTATTTAGACTTTCTGACTAGCTAGCTAGCTATGTATGTCGGGGGTTCTCTCTTCTTCTTTTTTTTTTTTTTTTTTTTTCCCTTTTATTTATTTCTCGTCATTCTTTTTTGATTACCGATTAGACTTTTCGAGCGATGGTGGGTTCAGCTTGGCTTAGAAAGCGCTGTAGTTGACATGTGTGGGTTAGGTTGCTCAATGGGTTTTGCGTGCCGGCAGATATACATACGGTATGGCTCGTTCCAATGGTCTCAGGAGTAAGCAACCTAGTCCGGAATTTTGGGGGAGGGGGAGGGGGCGAGTATCAAGTGATATGTATGAGTGAAGGTATCATAGGTGAAAGAGAGAGAGGGAGAGAGAATGAACGACAGGTGGGAGGGAGGGAGGGAGGGGGGGAGGATGGATACGAATGGGATGGTTTGGTTCCGGTCTTGGTGGGCTGCGAGGCGCCCTTGCCAGTTTCTCTGAGCACGAATAGTTTTCCTGACAGCACGTGGTGATGTATCGCTCGGTGGTGGGGTTTTTATTTTTATTTTTATTTATTTTATTTTATTTATTTATTTTATTTCATTTCATCCTGCTTGGATTGATCTGCCCTTCCTACCTCTCTCCCTCTATGGCTTACACCGCCTGCCTGCCTGCCTGCCTGCCTACCTACCTACCTGCCTGCCTGCCTACCTACCCATCTACCTACTTACAGTAGGCCCACCTGCACGTGGTTCATTGGAGATGGAGATAAGAGTCTCAGTGCGAATTATTTTATTATTATTTCTTTCTCCCATTTGACCTGTTTATCCTACGGTAGAGCATGTCTAACAGCAAACGCGTGGACGGTTTCATTCCTCCCCCAGTCTCGCTCTCAATCGAGAACGGTGGGATAAAAAAGGGTAAAAAAATCAAAAAAATAGCATTTATTTCTTTTTGATCTTAGATAGGGCTGGCTGGGTCGGTCGGGCGGTCTGGGTGAGTCTATCTATCTGTGCTACCGAGCTTCCTGTGCTCGAGTACAGTCGCCCCTGGCTATAGTGAACGCAAAAAACACTGTTCACTATAGAGATTAGCCAATAGCAAGGCCGCAAGACAGCTCACGCACCAATCACAGTCTTTCCTTTCAGCCCCCGTTCACTATAGCGAGGTTCACTATAGCCAGGGGCTACTGTACGAGTACCGTACTGTGAAAAGCCTAGACAGTTGTCGAAAAGGGGTGGGGTGGGGGGCGGGGAGGCGTATCATAAGCTAGTCCAGCTGGTACATATAGAGTTGCCAGGGAGGTGAGGTCGAGAAGCAGGATAAGTACAGAAGGGAAAGGGAACACAGGATGCATGCCAGTAAGGCAAACCTGGCAAGTGATGATCCGAGGAAAAGGTGAGGAAACGAAGATCAGGAAATCAAGTAAACTGCACATGGATCATGATTAAAATTCGGCGGGTAAAGAAATGAAGGGGAAAAAAAAAAAAGAGGTTTAAACAAGAAATAAATAAATAAACCTTCCCCTCCAGACACAAATCTGGCCATATTCTAACCCGACCCAGCAGATATCTCTGGAGTGCTTGTTGGTCTCCTCGACGAGCCATTGGTTCCAGAGGCCCTGCAAACCCCCTTATGGGTGAAGCTTCACCCAAAGAGTGGTATTCTTTCCTCTTACGGTGTGGATAAGTGACCGACCGACCACATCTGCCTGTGGCACGACGGAATCTCTTCTTCCCAATTCCGCTCGAATTTTTGTCGAGACTTCCCAAGATCATCATGGTCCTTGTAAAGGGGGGAACAAATGAAAGTATAAATAAATAAATAAGTAAAAAAAAAAAAAAAAAGAACGGGTGGAGAGGGTCGTTTGTCGGCAAGTCGACTTTGCAGGCGCTTAGGAAGACGATGGACGTATCTACCATACATGAAAATACACATGCGTTAACAACCCCCATTGCTGCCTAATGGTACGAAGTGAGCACACACTCGCCCGAGTACTTGCACACACTTAACTTATACGATAGTCACTCCGAGTCCGCTGCGTGCGGACAGAGAGGTATGATACTCGTACCGGAATGTCTGCATTCCGGTAAGGTATCTGATAGGCTGGGCGGGAGGGGCGAGAGAGCACCTGTTCTGAAGCTAGTATGAGGGAGGAAAGGAGGAAGAAGCGATTCGGGATGTTTGAGGTGCAGCCCGAGCTACTAGTAGGGTTACGGTAGAGGTTACAGATGTTGATGATTTACCGGCGGGTCACTTTCTCTTTTTCCTTTCTTTTTTCCTCTTCTATTTTCTTTTTTTTTTTTTTTACTTTTCCCTCTCGAATCGTAAAATACATTTTTTTTCTTGGTTGCTTTTTTTCTCTCGGTCTCTCTATTTCTTTCTTTTTGTTCCCTTGCCTGATACCGTCTTTTTTTGGCAAGATTTTGAATTTAAAAGGTCGAACGGGGGATGCATCATTGATATTGGCGCGTTCTGAAAATGATCAAATTGTAGGTATTTTATATCACTACAGGCGAAACTCTGGGCGCAAGCATTTCCGGGACGTGCTCACCTGACCCCTCTATTATCCACTTTCATTCCCACCCCCCCCCCCCTGAGAGAGTTCCAGCCACCGTCACAAGAGAAGGAGGGAAACATCGAGCTTTCCTGATCCTGAACGGAGGAAAGACGTATCAAGAGATCAAAAGGCTGAGATCGTAGCTCAGATTTCTGAGCGTAATACAAGGCTCTGATTTAAAAGAGAAGCAGAAGAGGGAGTGGATGACAAGATTTACGGGGGGAGAAGAAACAATATCTGGTTTTGGATTCCTACCCTCTTGCGGTACTCACAGTACCTTGTTTGACATCTCCTCGATTCGTCTGGTGCCATCATTAATCCTCCGCGCGCCCACCTCTTTTTTTTTTTTCTTCTTTTCTTTTCGAACCACAATTGTCTGTCCTCCACACGCTCCTCCCACCAACCCTCCCTTTTTGATCAACCACCTTGCCCACCCCCCCCCCCGGCGATCCTCCCACATAATCAGTATAATACGCTTTTCCTTCCTTCTTGTCGTTCAGTCAACACACACCTTGATTTCGAGCCTCTATCGCGACCGTTATCGACTCGCTCGCATATTTTCCTAAACTTTTCCTTTTTTCTTGGGTTCTTCTGTCCTCTCCCCTGTTCCTAACTTCCAGCTTCCATCCCTGCCGTTTTCTACTCACCCTTATTTTACGAATTTTCTTCAATTTTTTCTTTTTCACAATTCTTCAAGGGGGATCGCTGGCTGGGGCTCTTGGTTCCAGATCGAGAACAAGAGCCAAAGCTATCATAAAAGGGAAGCTCCGGAGTCATCCACGCACAGCCATCTTTCCTTTTTCCTTTTTCCTTTTTTTTTTTTTTCCCCGGGCCCTTCCCTTTCCCTATCATTGTTTTTTTTTATATATATTTATTTATTATTCCCTACTCGCACGGCCCATCACATCACGTTTTTTTCCCTTTACGTCGCAACGACCTTCCTTCGGCTACAATATTTAGGGTGCAAGGCAGGGAGAACAACAAGTGGAGTGTGAGTGATCAGACGCGACGAGTGAGAGGGCGAATACGGAGTGAGAAGGTGTGAGCGGGACAGCATCAACTTCGCCATCCAGATCACGGCTCGGGATTGGGCTTTGAGAAGCTTAAAACCTTCGAATCGAAACTCTGTCAAAAGCGGCATCAATCATCAGGAATCCAACACAGGAGCAGGAGGATCTGGTAGAAATATAATAAAAATAAAAAAAGAGGTCTAAAATCTTGAGGTGAGTTCGATGTGTCTGTCCCCATTTCGTTTTCCTTTCCCACGATCGTTCGTTGCTTCCACTGTTTCCCGCATTTCTTGCCTTTTGCCCCTTCCCTTTTCCCGTTAGCAGCATAAGCATCCACTGTTGTGGCAAGAAGAGAAGAAACGGAGGCAGAGGGAGAGAGGGAGAGGGAAGAAAAGGGAAGGAATTGAGAAAATGGGAGTCTGGACTAAAGGTGCTGCGATACCGCACGCCATCCACACTTTTTTTCCGCATTTCCCTTCTATCATGCCTTTCCTCTTCGCGCCCCCTCCCTCTGGTCTCTCTGCCTCTCTGTCTGTCTGCCTCTCGGCCACAACCATCCCCCCTCCTCCCCCTTCCCCCTTCCTCTCGCTACACCCCAAGCCAGTCATCGTCCGTTGGCTCTCGTTCACACTTTCCATTTCCCATTCATATGTTCTCCATGTATCCATCCCTCCCTGCTTCCCGCTCCCTCCTCCACAATAATAACGTTTGTTCCCGTCAAGAGACAACAAACTCTCCGTTCGTTCGTCTTTCTTTCCTTTTATCCTCCCACCCCCCCAAATCTTTCCAGTATCCCCACCACAACCACCCCCCCACTTCACTCCCGCCTATCCCACTCACGTTTTCAGCTTTTGCCCTTCCAGCCTCTTACATCTTTTCCTGTTCTCTGCTCCGTCTCGGACAAACCACTCTGCGCACCCCACTGCAAGGTCGCGGGGCTACGAAGCTCTCCGCCCAGACGTCCCCGTGACTGTCCGCTCCTATCACGTGTTGAAATTTTTCTTTCGTCAAGTGCCTAACTCTTCTTCCGAATTAAAACGCGCAGCTCCGTCCGGGCTTCACACACACACACACACCCCCCCTCTACCCCCCCACCCCCGGCTCTCGTTCGCTCATTATTTTCGCCGCCCTTCTTTCAACCCTTTAATTTTCCAGGGGAAGAAATTTAAGCTCCAGGGCCTTGGAAATCTTAATAGTCTGCCGCTGCACTCTGTCATCATCAAAGACATACAATACATAATTCAAAACAGCAGTCCGTTCCATTCGGAAAGGACAGGCGTTACGAGCCAATGCCGATGGGCGACCAGCACCACAATCTTTATCACGATGAACAGCCGCTGGGTGACGGCCAGCAACCACAACAGGCGACACCGGTATCCCACCTCCAGGAACCGCCCACCGGCGCTTCTGCATCCACGTCACCACAACTCTCCAACGCGTCAGCTTCGCACAAACGGAAGCGAGACTCGATCGACGATTCCGAGAGTAGGGATGAAGGGAGGTCTGTACGGGAGGGAAGTAATAGTGGTCGCCGATCCTCTTTTAAACAAGCTTCCCCAAACCTTTCCAACTCTGGATCCTTTATCCCTGTGAATACAAACTCCAAACAAAATTCTTCACCCAGCCCTGCCTACAATTTTCATCCATCCGCAGTCCCCATGAACGGCTCCACTAGTGCCGAGGCCGCAAACGCTGCTCTCGCCGCCGCGAGCGCAATGAGTGGTATGATTCCCCATATGTCCTCCTCGGCGCCGTTAGGGTTTTCCCAGGGGGATGGAGGCGGTGGTGGGAAGGGTCCGGAACATTCTCTAGACGGCGGTTTTGGTGCGTTATCACCTCCCCCAGCGGAAGCGCACGCTGAGGGGGTTGGCGGGAGCGGAGGTCATGTCCCACCCCCCGGTAATCACGGACATTCGCATCACAGCCATGGGTCGCCACAGGGCCCATCCAGCAATCCAAAACCGCAAGTCGGGACTGAGGAGTGGCACAGAGTTAGGAGGGACAACCACAAGGAGGGTGAGTTTGCACCATCCCTCCTGCGCAGCTGAATATGGAAAATCCCTGTCTAACGCCTTTATGTGAATAATTTAGTGGAGCGTCGCCGCCGGGAGACCATCAACGAAGGCATCAATGAGTTAGCAAAGATTGTTCCGGGGTGTGAGAAAAACAAGGGATCTATTCTCCAGCGTGCTGTTCAATATATCCAGCAACTCAAGGAGAGTGAAGCGTCTAATATTGAAAAATGGACCCTTGAGAAGATCTTGACGGAGCAAGCCATCGCCGAGTTGAGCGCTAATAACGAAAAGCTACAGAAGGAATGTGAGCGCGCTTGGAGGGAGGCGGAAACCTGGAAGAAGAGCTGTTTACAGGCCGGTGTGACTAGAGAGGGCGGTGGTCAGCCTGGAGGCTCATCATGACACTGGGCGGCATCTTTCGCAGATTGGTTGTTAAGAGTTGGGATCAGTGCGCGAGTGTGTGGAACTCGGGAGCTACGAGGGCATACAAGGGCATTCAATGGGTCGCGAGGCAGAATGATGATGATAATAACGGTTGTTACGATAATTATGAAGACACCCTGAGGATACGAAGAAACACCCATCACCACCACGAATACTCTACGAAAGCCTAAGATGGATCTGCTTTGGTGTTTGGCTCTTGTTCCCCCCCCCCCCCAAGAAAAAAGCAATCATTTTTTCCAAGCAAACTTGCAGGAATTTGTCCTTTTTTTTTTCTGTTTAAAATTCTCTTCGGAGTAACTGCGGCCAGGGAGGCGATTTGATACCGACAGATTGTTTTCTTTCCGCTTTGTGCCATCTCCCTTTTCTTTTCTTTCAGGAATTTCATTTTCCAAGAGCTTTTTCCCGGGCCCATATTCATCCTTGCGTTGTTTTCCCTTTCCTTTCCTTTTTTTTTTTCTGAGTCTGTCACCTTGTCATTTTTTCTTTTTCTTGTCCATCCATTGTCTGGTTTTCACGTGACATTCGAGGAGATTTGTAGCTCACGGAGGAAGCTGGCTCTTGTTCTACTCTCACGATTTGTGTTTTTGCCTGCCCCTCCGCTCCATGCCCCCCTATTTTCCCACCCGCCTGGTGTTTGCTTTCTTGTTAAAAAAGTGCCGTGTCTACGGTGTTTATAGTTTTATATTGCTACCCCGGATGGCCCCATAATGTCTTGATATAAAAAGTCCGGGTTTGGTTTCTTTTCTCCTTTCCTTTCCACCTCAATTCTTGCGTCCTGATGGTATAACGGGGGATTTTTTTTTTTTTTGGGTTGGCCCTTTGTTTTCTTTCCTGACTCTCTAGCTCTGAATTAACTGACATTTACCTTACAAACATCCTATCTCCGTACCTGTGTCCCTCCTGCCTATCAAGATACTAGCTTCTTGCTCACGTTTCGTCTGCTCCTTTTTTTTGTCGTTCCGTTTAGTATTTGTTTTTTTTTGTTTTTTTTGTCATTCTCTCGAGTATATCCCGTCCGGCATTACTCTTTGCGTCTGTTTGCAGCGGTCGTTACTTGGTTAATACTCTCCCCCCCCCCCCCTTTCCCATTCCCTTTTTGCTAACCTTACTTACAGTAGCTCTTTCTTGTTCAGTCCCCTTTTGTTCTCATTTCTCCGTAACGTTACGATTGTTCCACTTTTTTCTCCATTATTTCATTATGAAATATTCTTTCATGCTTCCTGGTACATATATTTGTCACCCTCCATCAAACCTCCTATCCCATCCACTCATCCCCTGCCTTATCATGTTTTGTTATTTTGTTATGCTGTTTGTTGTTCTTTTTATGTTGTGTGCTTTTTTTTTTTTTTTTTTTTCAAATGTCATGTGCTCTGTTTATTTGTCGAATCAATTCAATCGATCAATTCGTAGGGTGGGTGAGCAAGTGCCGGCTTGGCTGATTATGTTTGTGCGTTTGAAAGTATTAAGTATAGGTTGCAGCGGTGCGATATTGTACTGTACCTCGTCTAAACCTTCACAAGGTCCAATTGTTCAAATAGACCAAACAACCAGAGCAGATATACCGTACAATGATCCTTCCCCACTGTAATTGAAGAGTCCTATGATTCCTTCCTTCCTTCAAGCACCCTGGAGTCTATAGAGTGACCGAGAGCAAAACTACGGGTGCCCTACGCTACCCCACAAAAGCCCAAACCGCTTTCGAAGAGAGTGAGGAGGGGAAAGAAAGAAAGAAAAGCTAATTTACCCTCCCACCTTCCCTCCAGAACTTCCCTGTAGCGTACGGTATCACACGCAGGTACTTGTAACTGGCTACGAGTACTGGAGTAATCTAACCCTGCATATCCTTCCTGCCCGGCGCACGAGCACAACTGCTGCCGTATTACTACCGTTGTACCGTTTTTCTAGGTGAAAGGTATAATAGGTATCATTGCACGCTTGTTTTGCTTTCTTCTGGTGCTGGTGCCGTGTCGGGGAGGAGGAAGGGGGGGGAAGTATCTATGGGATCCGACGGGTATGGCACAGTAGACTGGACACGTCCCAGTTCTTTGGGTCTCGGTGAATTTTCTCGGGGTTCGTGTGATACAGTACGGGGCGGCACGGCACCGCCTCATACACAAGTACGAGTTGAGTGAGTGCTAGCACTAGTACTAGGATAGTTACGGGTGCGGCAGCTACTGTACGAGTATTCTGTGCTGTAGACCAACTCGCCATGACGGTTGATGTGGAGGAAGAATGGACACCTGTATCCTCTCTGAATGGGAGGTTTACAGTAAGATTATGTCCCCTCCCTCCCTTCCCACTGACATACGATACCTTGACTAACTGACTAAGGGCCCCCAGTAACTAACCCCCCGCTTTAGAAGACATTGTTTCCGTGACGGAACCGGTATGTTAAAGTGGTGGGGAAGGAAAGGGGGGGAAACAAGCAGAGCCGGAATCGAGGAGGGGCACATAGTGATTACAGTTATTGCAATGAACAGTTTCATTCGTGAGAGAAAGCGAATAAAGTTGTTATATAATATGATAATATGGAGATATAAAAGACGCTCAAACCAGCACTCCAGTTTGCAAAGCAGGGGGACGAGGAGTAGAGACGGACGAACGACAGGTGGGGGTGCCGGCAGGTTGATGGATTTTCTAGTGCTCTGCACCTTTTCGGCTATGGACAGCCTAGGGAGGAGGGGGGATGAAGGGGGGGGGGGGAGTGGGGATGGGAAAAGAAAGGTAGTACCAGCGCGTTTGTTTGAAGTAATTGATCTGAGTTGTCCGGATGCAATGCATGCCATGCCACCTCGTGCCATTTCCGAAAGAGGTTCCTTTTTTGCGCATTCTATTTCCTTTTGGATTACTGTACTGTAATGGGAAACTGGTGTTTTGCGTGAGTCGTGATGTCTTCCGCCCTTTACCCCATTCTTTCTTTAATCACTTGCCTTGCCGTCGCTTCCTCTCCCCTCCCATTAATCCGCAAGGGGAAAAAGGGAGGGATCCACTTTTCAGCTTTCTCGTCGTTCGATGGTCCGATCATCTCCGCCTGGTCACCTAGTTCTTCCCGAGCCCTGGAACGTCACATACAAGTAGGTCTTCTGTTCCCCTTCCCAAGCACCCATATACCTTCACGTTACCCTTACTCACCCCTAGGATAGCAGAGGTACCGGCATAGCAAGCACTGCGTTCTGTCCCTGTTCTGTTGCAAGCGACGAATATCGTTTCTCCCGATTGGCCCTGACCTCCTTGGTCCAGAACTGGCTGCAGTCGCTGGGTCCAGTAGGCGAGGGTGTCAGCGTCGGGGACTTGCGCTTGATCCACCAAGGATTCGGCAGGCTGGGAAGTGAGCCACGCCATAGGCATGACGGCTATATCTGCTTTCGAGTCGAGTATGTGATGTGCGAACTCATACTTCTCGATGGGGGCCTCGAATCGTCTTGGATTCAAATCCATACCTATGGGAATAATAACAACGATGCATTAGCCACGCCATCACACACACACACACCCCTTCCTGCCTCTTGCCCCGACGGTATTGCTTTCCGAAAAATGCAAGGCGGGGAAATAAGGGTGCATACATATTCCCACTGCAAGTCTTCCCAGTCCATCGGGGAGATCCCCGGAGAAGAACCCGTCCGGTCCTTCCTCAGCCCACGACTCATCTGTGGAAAAGAGAAAGTGCTTCCTGTAGTTTACCAGCACGTTTCCCATGGGAGATACCAACACCGCGGAATTGTACCTCGACATAAGGCCCAGCGGCGACGAGGGAGGGTGTGCGCAACATTCCGGGTATCCCACAGCTACGTAGCAACCAAGACGTCGGGCAATTGAGCGAGCCCATACCGTGGATGGGCCTGCGGCTGTTGGCTCCAGATGGGAATTTATTTCATTGACGGAATTAAAGTTGTAGCCTGGTTGGGAATGAAAATATGAGCTGTCAGCTGGTCAATGCTCTGTGCGCCGCAGACGTTGTTATGTGACCAAACTTGTTTGGGGCTAGTTAATAAGGGTAAGGGTAGGGTAAGTGAAGAAAGCAATCACCAAGGAGGGGGGGGGGGAGCGAGAAAAAAAGTGGGGACAACAACAAATGTATCGCAACAATCATACAATGTAGAGAAAAATTGTCGTACCTGAGAAAGCCATCTCAGGAAGAACCAGGAGGTTTATACCTCGGGTTTCGGCCCGAGAAATTATGGTCTCCGCCCTCCTAAGATTATGCGCAACGTTCCCCAGTTGGGGGTTGAACTATAGTAATGCCATACAAATCCATGGTGAGCTTGTGGTCCAAAAAAAAAAGGGCGCAGTAGGGTTAAACAAACTGCTGCGACAGCTGTTGTAACTGAGAATGGACAGTGGAGCCCCCACTGGCTATTTCTTACCTGTAGGCATGCGATTCTCATGGCTGGTGACTTGGTAAAGCGTGATAATGTAGAAGATCGTGATATCCCCAAACCGTCGGGATGACGACAAAGAACGTGGTAGTATTAGGTGGCGACGTGTTGGTATAAATGGTGAGTTTCCGAAGGCAATTCCCCAAAAGACCGAATAAGGAAGGGGGGCGGTGGCAGTGATGGTAGAATAGCAATGGAGAGTGAGGCCAGAGTATGTGAGGGCCACTGAGGCGGAAGAGGAGGGGTTTCAGCGGGGCAACGGCCAACCAGTGACAGGCCTTGCAGCGAAAGGGCTGCGGTTTCGGTGTCCTGCAGCTTGTGGAGAAGATAGTACTCGTACCGGCAGTCGGAGCAGGGTACCGACAGACAGGACAGACAACCCAAAAACGTGGTGATGCTCTTGCCCTTTGGCTCCGCTGGCCCTGCTGTACTTGTACTCGTGTTGCCTACGGTACCTGTGTGAAGACAAGCGACAGACAAGCGCGGGAAAACGCGGCGAGCAGGATGATCGCCCGCTGTGGTAAATTTTCTGGGCTGGCTCCTAATCTCATCAACGAGGCAGGAGGGGCATGACTTCAGTGTTGGTGGAGGGAAAGTTGTTAGTGTGCCCCCTATGTGAGGAGGAGGACAAGGTAACTTTTTGTTTTGTATGATACTATGTTTTCCCTATTTTTTTTGTTTTTTTCCCCTTGGCTCAGTTCTTTCCCTCCACTCTTCCGATTGCCGTACCGGTACAGTTGGTACAGTTCTCTATCATTGTGTGCACGAATACCACAGAAGAGTACCGTACCGGTGAGTACTCGCAGTACCGGTACCGCAGAGGGCGAGGCTGGACCTGATAAGGCCCTGTTGGCTGTTAGATATGAGGTGTCTAAGACAAGGTGGGGCCCCGCGTTGGGGTGGGCAAGGAAGGGCAAGAGGGCGCAAAGGGAGTGAGTGGGAGGGACTGGATGGTGGGCAGGGGTTAAGAGATGTGGATGTGTAGGGATTGGAGGGTGGCCCCGGCTGGTGCCTGTACTGTACTCACCTACCGGCAAGAGGAAAAAGGACAGGATTGGACAGGATTGGACAGGACAGGCCTTTCGTTTGGTGTGGTGAGGTGGTGCCCGACGCTTGATAAGTACCGGTACGAGTACCAGCACTGGTATTATGAGTGGTGGATGGAAGGATCAACGGCGGTGGCTGGTGCAACATGTACAGTACTGTGCGGTACAGTAGTGGCTGTACAGTACAGTACGGCACGGTTTTGCACCATCTTCTACTCGTGCAGTGCCCGCAGTCTACCAATACAGCGTCTCTCTGGCCCACGTCCCCGAGAATATCGAGTGTAGGCTGGGAGCCGACAGGATAAGACGAGAAGCTCGACAGCCTAGCTAGCTTGCTCAGCTCCATTGGAACGATGCTGTAGTGTCCGCTGGCCGTCTAAATTTACGGATGCAATACCTGATAGGAAGGAAGAAGGGAAAAGGTTGCTTCACAAATTAAAGAATATCACAGAAATAGCTAGAGCTCTATAGAAACCGATAGATGTGGCGATAATAAGTAATATTAAAATCCTGCACACCTAATAAAATGTTACAACACCTGGCGGGTTCTCAAGTGTGACCCCATCTCCAAAACCACCCTCACCCCTCACCTCCCGGCCAGGGATTGCAGGCACAACCTCCTTCACCTATCCGAGAATTCATCAACCTCCAACCCTCGACCCCTCCTCGATGCAGGAGATTTGCGAGGCCTAAGCATCAGGGATATGAATTATAGCATAATTATAATATTATTATCATATAATTAAGAAGGGGAAGTCATCGTCATCGTGGAGAAGCCTCTTTTTCTTTTCCTTGTTTTCTGCAATATTGACCAGCTGCAGGAACAGCCAAATGAAGGGAGAGACATGAATCAACATCCCCACCTCTAGATTGTAAATCCTCCTATTGAAAAGCGGAGAAGGGGGAGATTTTGCCTGGGGTTTGCGCAAATAATTTGAGTTGGCCTAGTGAAAAAACTGTCATACTTTCCCAGACGGAGAAACCCTAGTGGCCGGTAGACCTGGCAAAGCTCGTGAAGGCTTCAGAAGCATTAACTGCACCTAGGAGGGCCTAATATGTGCCGGTGGCACTCTCTGTTCCTCCCTTTCTCTGCCCGTTTAGTGCTCCCAAAGGCCTCGTGATACACCAGGATGGGTTATTCCAGAGTGCCTTGTCGAAGAGAGGCGGGGAAATATGGTAATAAAAACGAAACCGGGCCATGGAGGGGGAACGAGAAAAAGGAACAAAACCGGGGAAAGGCTGAGAAGTCTCATGGCCGCTCTTGCCGAACCCCCCCTACAGGTAGTAATACTCGTTTTGACATGAAGAGGGTTAATATTCGTATCGTGATTTAGCAGCCTACGACACGACTCATTCCTCACCAAGTGTTTTATAAAGTACTAGGACAAATCGTTCCGTACGACATGAGTTTTTACACTAAATATGGCGAAAAATCAATGGCTTACAATAACATCACCAGGTCTAAAAGTGACTTAATATCTCGTATGGGGGTCCATAGAAAAGGTACATGGCAACCCACATACTTACGAAACGAATTGGCCTGGCACTGTACGAGACGGAGGTGGTGCTGATTACATTGAGAAACGCTCTGTAGTCAACCTTGGAATCATATTAGCAAATGAGTTTGGACTCGCGGTTTCCCTCCTTCCCAAGCTGCACCTTGATACGGTGGGTGCCTGTAGTCACCTCTGGATCAATCAAGCCACAATCTCACAGCAATGTGTATGCACGTAATTTTGTTTCCTGTTAATCCCTTCATTTTCTTTCCTTTTTTCCCTTTTTTTCCTTTTCTTTTTTTGACTTGCAGCGAGGGTTGGTTACTCTGCTCTTCGGGGATTGGGGGGGGCGCTTGTATAACCCACCCTCTGTGACGCAGGATATGGAAGTTGCACCAGTATTGAGACAATGGAATTGGCCAGGAATCTAATGATCATCCGGCCCCAAGATATCGACTAGTAAAAAATCGCATGATCCACTAACGGGGAGGCATTGCTGAAATTCTGGGGGAGAGAGATTGGAGAACAATCAAGAGAAGACGAATTTTGTCTCGATGTCTGAAACTCGCGGTACAATTTCAAGAATTGATGCGACAAAGTCAGGGTCGAGCACCAGGACACGGCCAAGAACGCGTCATATACAACACAGTAAAGAACGGAAGATAAGCTATCTCTGTTCAAATTCGGATAATCAGCTTCGGCGGCAAAGATAGAATAATTCGGATTGGAAATGCGGGATGGCGCTGATGACCATCAGGGGAGTGGAACGTGAAGGCTTCTTCTTCCGTGCACTACACCCTACCTAAGAACTGCCCGACATTGTGGCTAAAAAACTGGAGCCATGAAGCCGACCGGGTTCGGTGGATAAGGCTTATGAGACCAGGCCTTTTTGCTTCTTTCCTTTATGCCCACTAGAGAGATCTGTTCTTAGAGCCAATAATAGGTGGCATCTCAGCGGGAAAACGGGGGCCCGGAAGCTCGGGGAAGAGATATGGTGATATCGTCGGATATAACATAAGAACGTGCCATTCAGAAGCATGCGTTCGGTGGTGCAGGAGAGTTCACTTCACATGCATATAGCTAAAGCAGACAAAAATCGTAAAATTGTGATCTCGTGGGTCAGCTGTCGCACGACGCTGTGCTACCGCCATGAGGAAGAAAAAGGTTGATGGGTGGAAACTCGGAGATTTGGAAATCGCACAATGGCAAGGGCTCCCACTCTTCCTCTACTCTGAATCCATCTTGATTGATTTGCTCTTGGCTCGCAATTTCTACTTCTAGCGTAGGAGAAGGTTGAACGAAGAAACTTTGTTGGGGGAATCTCAAAGGGTCCCCTATACTAGGCAGCCAGTGGCCGAAAAGGGGAATCTGGAGGAAAGGATCTTTACGGGGTGCTATACGAGATGTCTAAGGTCCCCCACACGGCAAATTATCACACAGGCAATGCCCAGCAACATCTGAACTCTCTGGACCGGAAATCTTAGAGCTCCTATGACATGGCAATATCTGATCGGATACCGATTGGAAGAGCTACCGATAATTGGGCTCCTGAGCCGCGATAGAACAAAGGATCTCAATTAACCATCACTTTCGCGCTGGTAGATTATTGGTAGACATAGAGTAAAGGAAATATTGAAAAGATCCGATTGGTCAATCCTGGTTAACGTCACTTCCATCGCGAGGTCGGTACTCGATATTGTGAGTAGCAAGCAGGTCGGCGGCCTCTATTGGAAGCTATCATTCGGAGAGAAAAAAACGGTTGGTAAGCAATTTAGGAACAGTGGTGGGGTGGGGGACTCCTTGTGGTATCATGGCTTTTGACACTGAAGGTTGGCTTACATTCCCGCTAACTTTCACAGCATAAATTCCCTTGCGGTATCCGTCGAGCCTCTGCCATTTAGCCACCCAAGAGTTTTTTGGGTCACGAAGTGTGATAAGGCCCTCGAAAACCGGTGAAGTGCAATCGTCGACAAAGTCAGGTTGGCCGCGGAAGTTCAGGTATTCTTCGCAGTTCGGGCAGCCATCCTTAATAAATTTCTGCGCCACGTGTCAGTTACCGTACGGAAGCCACCGACCCATAACGAACATACTTGCTGGGTTTGAACTACTGAACAGACCATACACGCCCGTAAATGCCGGTACTGACCGGGCGCGACGAAATTGGATCCACCGGACATTATGAGCCTTGACCGTGATCGACGATTATTGTGTTTGTGGAAGTCGGTTGTTGTTGTGGTGATGGTCGAAGTTGAAGGTTTAAGACTACCTTAGGTTGCTGAGAGAAACGCAGGGCTGAGTTGTTCCCTAAAGGCTGCTCCAGTCATGTGATTATATGGCTGAGCTTTCGTGGCTGATACTGCACGTGAGCCGAGGGACAACAGACGCTGTGATAAAGAACCCACACTTTTTCAATCTCCGATGTTGTGAAAAACTCCACATAGCATTTCCTCAACCGATGGATAGATAAGCCTATGTCTAAATAGTGCGTTTTCCAAAAGCTTGTACTAGCCCTGATAATTCACAAAATTCGAATCCAGAAATGAGAAGCCACGCCGAGTGATCCGTTATGATTATACAATGGAGCGGTAGCTCGGTGTTGCACTGATATTTGTGAAGTAAAAATCAAGAGTACAAGTACTCCAGGCGCTCCACCGAAACCTGTGTTCCATATGTGCAGTATTTGCTCGAGCGTTATCGACTATTTGTAGCGAATAGACCTCTCCCACCGATACTATGCCAGCCCCGCAGTTCCTACCGGTTTCATCACTGGAGCAGCTCTCGGGAATCTTTGCTTTCAATAATCCATATCCATGCTTGGCGGCAAACCGCACTGACTGCCCTTGTGGAGTTTGGTTACCTCGGCCTCAAGTAGCAGTTTCAGAAATCCAATGGAGAGACAGTATGTCCAGTGGGTGGGATATATGGAGGAGGACGTTGGTTCGGTCCCCGCCGCTCTGCCCCCTAATATATCACGGCGGATCGGTCACGAGAGTGATCTTGCTCTGATCATTTCGATTTTGTGTAGAGACGGAGATTACAGAGCTGGGTTAGGGAGCGGAATTGTTTTATCAGTAGACGTAGCCCGGTTCCGGGATTTCACGTGAATAACCTATGTTACATACAACACTGCGGAAGAAATCTAAAGTTTATCAATTTTAGCCTCTCGGCTTCTCTTGCTCGCCTTTCGAGGGTGCTCTTGCAATTTTTCCTTATACCGAAAGTGTTGAGGAAAAGGGGTGGCTCTGGAGCCCACCTGTCTTTGAGTGCGAGACTAGAGTTCTACTACCCCCCCTCCCCAGTGCCTCCACAGCTTTGCCTCATCTCCTCTTTTGCTCCACCTGGAACAACTATGTGGATAAGCTCAGGTCAGATGTGGTGCGGTAGCGGTCTAGACACTGATTTTGAAATGCTTAATACCGACTCAACTCCGACGGTGACTCGGAAATATGCGATAACATGGGTCTGTGCTGAAGCGGAAAGAGGCTCACGAGAGCTAAAATATGTAGGGTTAAACATATCAGAATTGGGCATTCGTACCTTGGAATTGAAGCTCCACTCCTCTTGTCCGTAGGCCTCTTGCGTTTTGCGTCCCGCTTCTCCGGGGGGCAGATACTGAGGTGGGACTTTAATGCTGTCGCTGTTGCTATCGGGTGAGAGGGAGGTATCATGCACACTTTCACAGTTCCCTCACAAAGTTTTACGTCGGCTATTACAATAGATACGAGGGTCGTGGTGATGATTCCATGAAGATTCATTGGCTTCATCCGGGAGTTCTGCCCATCTAGCATTTCGGGTGGGGATTGTAGCTGTGCTGCAGTCGAAGATCAAGCGGTGTCAAGAAAAAATTTGGAATATCGATCGCGTTGAAGGTCTTTTGTCCCACACTAGGCTTGTATAGCTGCTGATAAGCTTTACAATTTTAGGATCACTCAAGATGAACGTCATTTATCTGGTGCAACAGCCCAAGTTTTTTTTTTCTCTCCAAGCCTTATTTCAAAGCCTTAAGATATTAAATCACGATTTTCCCTGCAGCCGGTCGCACAATGGCTTGAAGTACAAGTGTTCCGCTCAGTTACTCTCTAGGGGTGACTCTCTTATCTTTTAGAGAGCATTCTCAAGTTTCTGCGACACATGAAGAAACAGATAACAAAGACTCAACCTCGACGCAAGTGCACTGCACGGCCTCGGGGCACAATAAGGTGTGTCCTCACCCGTCAGTGTTTCTCTGCAAGGTTTAGGATTAGCTAAATCGCTTTATCGGTAGTTCCAAAAAGGGCACTCACCAAATTACCGATAAGCACACTTTAGTACGAGATTGGATGCCACCTCCAGCTGGAAGTTGTCATGAGAAAACTGCCGGGTGTTGGGGGATTGGGAGGTTTAAGGTTCCTCATGGTCCATATATCGCCCAAAGATGCAACTGCCTAAGACTCTACGCATCGGTTCACAAAGTATTCGGACATAGAAATGCCAAGAACTTGTGTTTTACACCAAAATTCGAGGAGCTTGGCACCTCTATTTCCGGATACTTTACGAATTGGCATACGCTCCACATGACGGCAGCCATCAGGCATCGGCCCGGCGGCACTGTAAGTACAACCGCTCATCTTACCATATTGAGAGGATACGCGTGCGCCCAAGCACACTGGTTGATGTTTAGACTTGAGAGGCCACTAACCTCCGACCTGGATTTGAGCAACCTCCCCCGTCTCATCATCACCCACGAGTACCTGAGCGACTGCGCCGAGTTTCCCCTGTCCATTTAAGAAACCGGCCCTGGGATACCCTATAGGATACACTTATGGAAGGCGTTAAAAAAAAGAGAGAACAATATTAACCCTCGGTCTGTGGGCCCGGGTATGCTGGCTCCACACTCCAACCTAACCGCATTAAACATTCTCGCGCCAAAGTGAGCCTTGCGATATACCGATCTGATCATATTCCTCTTCTTCAGGCATCACGAGAACACCCCCATAAAGCCCTGAGTCGAGGTCATATGTACAAGCATAGTTAGTGACATCTCCTGATTAGTCAAAGGTAATATGGCAAAAATAGACGATCGTGCGCCATCTGGGACAGGTCCTGGCGCCTTGAAACTGGGGCATGCAATGAGCCTTGCGGCAGCCGACCTGATCGCCCGTCACTTCCTTCAACATACCGAGGGCGACAAAAAATCGATGTGGGCGAAAAGAAATCAGCCATCACTTTCTAAACTGGGGACGGAGAGATTGTGGACTGCCCTTAGGGGAATGCCGGTATTTCGCCTGCATCAGTGAAAGACACCCGTTGGAGCTGTAACAGTGCAAGCGATGGATCTAACATGCGGAACACGCTTACAAGGCGTCGTGTATCGTTTACAAGGTGCGTAGCTTGCTTGTATACGTCTCAGACCATCGGGAATTCCTCGTTGCCCAGAAACCAATCGATGGTATTTTTCCCCCAAGCCTATTCACGAAATGTCACTCGCTCATTGAAGAGGAGCCACAGATTCATATTCATTATAAAAGCCCTTGCATGCAGTGAGATACACACGCAGGGATTCCTTCATCCTAGTGAATCGGAAAACAGGTTGGGGAAGTCATACCTAAAGAAGGGGCTGCCGATTAGGCCGGGGAAGTGGCAAGTTGGGACCGCACCCAGATGCAACAGGTTTCGCCGGGAGTAACACAACACAACATTCGCGACGAATAGTATGCTCTATCCTCGTTTCCGTTATTTTCTTTTCTTCTCTCATCCCATGTCTATATTGCTTCGACCCACCCGTTCCGGGCCCTTCGCGGCGTTAGACTGAAGTGGTGATTGGCAGTGGGAAATTCTTCTTCTGGCATCATGTGAACCATCATATAGGAAATGGGGGGGGGGGTGCTCGAGGTAGGTTGGTCAGGCGGTACCCGATTTATACACCTTTTACAATTTCATAGCACCACGAGCTCTATCCGGTAGGTAGGCTTATATGTACGCGTCCGTTTGCGGGAACGGAAACAGTATCCAATCGATTTATTATTACAAACCTCTGGCCCCCGCCACGCAACCGCCAAAAGGTGAGGTTTGTGTTATTCTCTGCGAGCAGACGCTATATCGCTTTCACGGGCAGTTGTCGGTGTGCTCAGGAACCCCCAAACTTGGCGGATAAGGGTTAGCCAAGTGCCTGGGAGTTTTGTTTGGGGGGGAAGGCCCCGGGAGGGGTTAGATATCAAAGTTGGTGGGCACATCTACCGTATATCTTGGAGGTATCTGGCCATTCGGCAGGACCACCCTCACGCTTCCATCCCAGAACTCACACACACACACACGCATACACACCCAAGCTCAAACGCAACGGTACCGGCATATCAGGATTCCCCAAAAGGGCCCGACCGAAGGTGAGTGAAGGCGGGAACTGGTACGAATGGAAATATTCCCAACCAAACATCCTCCAGTAACTGATTCCATAACCGCCGTCAAACCGGCCAGCCCGGGTCTAAAGTGGTGAACATCACCGAACAGTAGGCACGATGGTTACACGAGGAAGTTGTATTTCTACACTTTCCCCGATAGCCAGTCGAATGATTCGCGCGAGGAAAGCCACTCGCGCACCATACCGCTCTGCGCTTGGAACCACAGCCCTCATGCAATCCCAATCGCAACTGAATCCTATCCAACCCACACACATACAGACTTACATTACACATTCCAAACCCAGGACCACATCCGAATTTTTGATGCAAGCGAAGTGCATTTATACGATTTAGCGGTTATACTTGACCCATTTCTCCCATTTCTTCTATTTCTTTCTTTCTTTCTTTCTTTCTTTCTTTCTTTCTTTTTTTTCTCCTTCTTTCTTTCCAGTAGAAGGGGTGGGGGGGGGGCAAACAGTTATATTTATCTAATCATCTTTCATTTTTCATTTTTCCAGGGCGCAATATGGCAGCGAGGATGCATGAACAAGATTATTACAAAATTACTCCTTATTTTGTTATTTTGTGAAGAATCACAAAATATCGTTTGCGCTTACCGCCAGCCTATATTGTACTCGTACAGTACGGCAGTTTGGCGGGGCATGGTATTTGACCCCCCCGTGAACAGAAAGCCAAGAAAGAAGGAAGGAAGGGAGGAAGAGGAGCGAGACCAAGACGAGCAAAAGCTGATAAAAACAACGATACATCACAATCTCAGAAACAGCAGGAAGAGAGGGCTTTCAATCTAGGACCATACCGTACGCACCGGTACTGCAGCGCTAACAAAATCATATTAGGTCAGTCGAGCCACTGTCCGCAGATCACCGTACTCTAGTATTACAAAGTGACCTGGACCAGTCTAACTTACGCGGGCCTTGAGCGCGATGCGGGAGGTTCCTCGCGCCGATCAGTGCCATCCGATTCGGCAGATCATTATCGCCGAGACGCACCGTGCTGCAATGCGACCGGTGAGTCAGGTCAATTTACGAGTACGGTACGGGTAGTGCGGTACTTGTATACTTGCATACGGTATGGTATGGTCGGCCGGGGTTTGGACCCAATCTTCTGCAGCCAGACCAAGATGCCGCATTGGATCGCTCGGAGGACCGAGCCGAGCCGAGAAAGCTCTCCCTCCCTATTGAGACCGATAATTCAGATGCTCGTCCGTTTCCCTCCTAACTTAAAAGGTTTCCGGGTTCGCTTAAGTTATATGATACATTTTCTGCTGCTGCTGACGGGAGGTGTTTGTTCTTTTTTTTTTTTTTTTTTCCCTTCCTTTGCATTCTTTGTTTACGGTGTGGCGCTGTTTGTGGTGGAGGTGGTTTCCTTCTCTCTTTCTCTCTTTCTTACCCGCTTGAACTGAGCTGGATTGGATTGATTGGAGGCTGAGGTCCCTTTTCATCGTGTTATGATATATCGTGGAAAAGCGGGTGACCACCAACTCACCCAAAAACAGGATGGAGTTAATCAAGGTGCTTGTCTCGTACCGGTAGTATTATGTGCTCTACAATTGCTTGGCCTGTTTCAGTGAGAACTGTGGGATTTGTTCACGAGGTGATGCAATGCATGGTGCCTCTTTCACTGGAAACTGGTATGATTGAAGGTATGATATGATGTCTTTGTCTATCCCGAATGCTTCCAGTATTTCTCTCCCAAGGTTTATTGATAGAGCTTTATTTTTTTTCCCTCAGATACGATTCTACGAAATTTATTATTATGATACTATCATATCTCTTTTTTATCAAAGCAACCAGGAGGTGAGATTTCCGGATGTAGAGTCGCCCATTTATGGCGCAGGATGCCAACCCACTCATGACCCCTGGCGATAACTTGGGCTCTTACAAGTACAAACGTTGGGCAAGCAATGCTGCTGTGTTCTCACCGCCGGTACGTACAAGCATAGTGCTTAGGGATAAGCCTGCGGTAAGAATGAATGAATTCAAGGGGATTTCCGGGATTCTGATTGGAGCGTTCCGTGGCTCGGGCCAATTGAGCAACCGTGTTTCCGATCACCGTTTTCCCATTTTTTATTTTATTTCGTTTTTTCACAGTACTGTACGGCAGGCTGTATCATACCGTACGGTGACTGGCTGCTTGATGATCCTCCCGTTGGGCTGCGGAAACTTGCATGATTGGCGGAAGTTCGTTGCACTCGAGAGGGGTACAGTACTTGTACACTGGTAACAGTATTCATTGAAGAAGGGAAACGACCACTCAGAGTACCGCACCGTACGGTTAGCGGTGCATGGCATCCCGTTGAAATTGAGTTTTTGTTGTCATTATTGTCATTGTTATCATCACCGTACCGCATTCTCTACCGTTGATCATTCACCGGATTGTTGCCCCCGGGAGTGGGTTACCGGTACGGTACTCGTACTCGTACTCGTACCGTACTTGTACAGTATCATACTGCTCGAACATGGCGGTGGCGGGGAATTAATAAGTCGCGCGGCATGCACTTTACGAGTACGAGGTTGCACAGAGCCGGAGTGGCATAAGAGGTTCACTCATCATTCTCGCAAGGGGAAGGGAGTCACAAAGGATCCGCGTTAAGCTTGCAGAACGGTATGTACCGTCGTCCGTCTAGACTCATACCGTCCTCCGTAAGATAAACTTTGGTCCTTGACTAATTCAGATGTCCCATTGTTCGCTCCACCGGCCAATGAAACCCGTGAGAACTCCGACATGTCCGACCCGAGCCATCGTTTGCCGGTATAAATTTTGGCCGTGATGCCAAATCATGGAGTATGATAGCTGGGAGTCATACTATGTATGCCCCGATCGTAATCGTACGGGGGAAAGGGAAAAAAAACCCTTGTGCTAGCCCTACCAGTGACTGATTCCTGTTGTTATTGTATTGAGCGCCATCATACCTACCGTACAGTATTTCTTCCGCCTTTCTACCCTACCTCGACACACCTCCGTTTGCATCTCCTCCTTCCCCCCTCCGTGCTCCCCCCCCTCCCTCTCTCTCTCCACCTTCCCCTTGCCCTGAGTGCTCCGCCTCTCTCACAAGACTCGCTGGATCGCTTGCCATCTGTTTCTCCCTAGCCATATCCGAGCTTGCAGGAACGGTGCTCGCTCCAGCTACAGTACTTCCTTTTCTTTTTCCTTTTCCTTTTTTTATTCTAAGCCAGCCTTCTCTTCTGAAATCGGGGCATCACATTTTATTCGGGGACTATAGGCTCCCTCTTGTTCCCCGTGATTCGTAGGTAAATGCGGGGGAATTTTTGTGGTGACCCGGAAGGTTGGTAGCAGAAATGCGTTCCCTTTCAATTCTCGGGAGCAATAACGCGTCTATTTATCCTTGCCCCAAATTTTGCACCTCCTTTTCCGCCGTATTTCGTGATTCTTGTTTGTTTTTTTTCCCCCTGAGCTGACTTCGGCTGTTTTGCGACTTTGGAGGATGGGGTCCCATCTCCCCTAATGGACGGAGCGACTTCACGCCTTGTTTTCTGGATTCGATGATCGATGGAGTCAGCTTGGGGGTCATCTTTTTCGGGGCTCTTCAGGTGTATTGGCTTTCACGGCAGAAGCCGGTGGGTTCGGTCAGGGATTGGAGCTATACTTTGAAATTGGTGAGTTGTTTGTGGCTTCCGCAGTACGAGCCTTCGGGTGCCTTATGTTGAGGGGGGGGGGAGGTCTGCTTACAGGATACAACGTCTGCAGGTTTTGGTTGCAAGTGCAATTGCGGCTTCGGCATTGCTCGCTTCGTTGCAGGTCGAATACTCCGATTCATGGTTTTACGATATTCGGTTTTGGTCGCCGATTCTCTCCTGTGTTGGTCTCGGGGTGGCCTTTGCCGTTCACTACTTGGAGCACGACCGATCTTGGGTCCCTAATGGAGTTCTGCTCTTCTACTGGCTGCTGTTCATCGTCGTGCATGGTGTCGAGCTTCGGTCTTCTGTGGACCTGCACGATCACAAACACCGGCTTCCCCGGCTGATCGTGGTGGCATGCGTTGAGGGTGTGGGGATCTTTGTCTTCCTTTTGCAATTGATGGTTCCGAGGAAGAAGGGTCCATACGCGCTCATTGGTGAAGATGAGGTGGAAAACGAATGCCCTAGCGAGACGGCAAATGTCTTTTCGAGACTTACATTTGAGTGGATGACGGTGATGATGAAGCAAGGGTATCATAAGTTTTTGACCGAGGAGGATCTCTGGAATCTTCGTAAGATCGACACAACCCGCGCTACGGGAGATCAATTCACCGAAGCGTGGGAGAAGGAGCTTCAGAAGGAGAAGCCGAGCATTTGGATTGCATTGCTTAGAGCCTTTGGTGCCCCTTATGGCCGTGGTTCTCTCTACAAGATCGGGAATGATGTCCTGGCTTTTGTCCAACCGCAACTTTTGAGGTTGTTGATAGCATTTGTATCGTCTCACAATTCCAATAGTCCTCAACCGGTCGTCCGAGGAGTTGCCATTGCCTTTGCCATGTTTGGCTCAAGTGTTGTTCAAACTCTATGTTTGCACCAGTACTTCCAACACGCTTTCGAAACGGGTATGAGGATCAAGAGCAGCTTGACGGCAGCCATATATAAAAAGAGTATGCGTCTATCGAACGAGGGGCGGGCCTCAAAAACCACCGGTGACATTGTAAACTTACAAGCTGTTGATACCCAGCGACTACAGGGTAAACTCTGATTTTACTCAATCATATCATATCACGCAATCCACTGACGGATATATGCACACACAGATATCACCCAGTATGGGCAGCAACTATGGAGTGCACCTTTCCAGATCACTCTTTGCATGATTTCCCTTTATCAGCTTTTGGGACCCAGCATGTTTGCCGGAATTGCGGCGATGCTGGTCATGATTCCGGTTAATGGAATCATTGCCCGTCTTATGAAAACGCTACAGAAAGCTCAGATGAAGAATAAGGACTCTCGAACTAGATTGATGACTGAGATTCTGAACAACATGAAGAGTATCAAGCTTTACGGATGGAGCTCTCCTTTCATGGCCAAATTAGACCATGTTAGGAATGATCTAGAGTTGCATACCCTTCGGAAGATTGGCGTCGCGCAGGCGTTCGCCAGTTTTACTTGGTCCAGCACGCCATTTCTGGTATCTTGTATGTGCCACCGATAGTCGAAATTGACCATATTTGCCAGACACTAACTATCACTCGATTTTAGGCTCTACATTTGCTGTTTTTGTCTGGACTCAAGATGAGCCCTTGACTACAGATATTGTCTTCCCAGCATTGACCTTGTTCAATTTACTCACCTTCCCTCTTTCGGTCCTCCCTATGGTGATTACAGCTGTTGTCGAGGCCAGCGTTGCTGTCGAACGTATCACTTCATTCTTAACAGCTGAGGAACTTCAGCCGGATGCTGTGATTCACGAGCCACCAGTTCTTGAAACGGGCGAAGAGACTCTTAGCATCACTGATGCAACATTCGCCTGGAATCGTGCAGAGGCTGGTAAGAGCGCCCTGAAGAATATCGACTTTACGGCCAAGAAGGGTGAGCTCAATTGCATTGTGGGGCGAGTCGGTGCCGGGAAATCCAGCTTTCTCCAAGCGATTCTCGGAGATTTGTGGAAAGTGTCGGGCAAAGTCGTCGTGAGAGGATCTACTGCTTATGTCGCCCAGTCAGCATGGATCATGAATGCTTCCGTTAGGGATAACATCGTGTTTGGGCACCGCTATAATCCGGAGTTTTACCAGGCCACCGTCAGAGCTTGTGCACTTCTCGAGGACTTTGATGCCCTACCCGATGGAGATGAGACAGAAGTTGGCGAGAAGGGAATCTCTTTGTCCGGGGGTCAGAAGGCTCGTTTGACTCTCGCTCGTGCCGTCTACGCTCGTGCCGATGTTTACCTTTTGGACGATCCCCTTTCTGCCGTTGACCAGCATGTCGGAAGGCACCTTATCGATAATGTTCTTGGCCCTAAGGGTCTTTTGGCCGGAAAGACCAGAATTTTGGCAACGAACTCGATCCCGGTATTGATGGAAGCAGATTATATCCATCTTCTTGTTGCGGGTGAGATAGCCGAGACCGGCGCCTACAACACTGTCATGGCCATGAAAGGTGGAATATATAACATCGTCCGTCATCTCAAGGAAGCTCGAGAACAGGATCAGAGTGACAAAGATAGCGATAGATCGTCAACTGTTGTTGGTACCGGTGCTACTTCCGCATTGGAAATCTCGAGTGAAGAGGATGAGGTTCCGGATACCGACGGCAGAACTATTGGCCCCGAAATGAGGAAATCTAGGCGTATCTCTTTGAGAAGGGCATCCGCGGCGAGTTTCAAGAAGGGCAGACGCAGGATCGTAGACATTGAGGAGAACCGCATCAAGAGAACAACACAAGGCAAAGAATTTTCGGAGAAGGGAAAGGTCAAGTGGAGTGTCTACGGGGAATATGCAAAAGCCAGCAACCTCTTTGCTGTTACGATATACCTTCTCGCTCTGGTCTGTTCACAGGTTGTTTCTGTTGGGGGAAATGTATGGCTCAAGACATGGTCCGAAGCGAACAGCGAGAGCCATACGAACGACCACGTTGGCAAGTATCTCGGCATTTACTTCGCCCTTGGAATCGGCGCAGCTGCCCTCGTAGTCTTTCATACGTTGATTCTTTGGATTTTTTGCGCTATCGAGGTTGGATTTCCCATCTTCTGTAGTGATCGCTACATCGCTAACAAATAGGTTATAGGCTGCTAGGAAGTTGCACAATAAGATGGCAGTTGCTATATTCCGAAGCCCAATGCAGTTTTTTGAAACCACGCCCGCCGGCCGTATCCTGAATCGCTTCTCCAGTGATGTATGCACCCACTCTTATTTTCCGATGCCTCATCAGTTACTGATATAGTATGTGTTACAGATTTACAAGATCGATGAGGTGCTCTGTCGAAGCTTCAACATGTTGTTCAGCAATAGCGCTAGGTCAATTGCTACGCTTGCCATCATCTCTATATCCACGCCTCCGTTTATTGCTCTTGTCATTCCCCTAGGGGGTCTCTATCTCTACATTCAGCGCTATTACCTACGGACCTCCCGGGAGTTGAAACGATTGGATAGTACATCGCGGAGTCCGGTCTATGCTCACTTCCAAGAGTCGCTCGGCGGTATCTCTACCATTCGGGCTTATCAACAGCAGTCCAGATTCATAGATGAAAATGAATGGAGAGTTGATGCTAATCTGCGCGCCTATTTCCCTTCCATTAATGCGAACAGGTGAGCTTTTTTTTTTCTTCTTCTCCCCCCCCCTTCACCGTGCCGAGATGCTTCATTGTACAGAACATTGCTAACTATCGTCTCGGTTCAGATGGCTCGCCGTGCGATTGGAGATTATTGGCTCAGTCATTATATTGGGGGCCGCCGGATTTTCAATTATTGCTGTCGCTTCCGGTACCAACCTTTCTGCAGGTATGGTTGGCTTATCAATGTCGTACGCGCTGCAGGTAGGTTTTGAACTTCTCCATGCGGTTTTACTCGCGAAAATCACGGCGACCATAATGTGACTGATCATATTTTTATTTTTACCTTACCGCGTAGATAACTCAATCACTCAACTGGATCGTGCGCCAAACTGTCGAGGTTGAGACCAACATCGTCTCGGTAGAGAGGGTGCTCGAATATGCAGCTCTTCCAAGCGAGGCGCCCGAAGTCATCCCAAGCCAAAGGCCGAGCACGAGCTGGCCCGCAAATGGGGCCGTATCCTTCCATAATTACTCGACCCGGTACCGCCCCGGTCTAGATTTGGTTCTTAAAGACATTAACATCGACATTAAGCCCCGGGAAAAGATTGGGATTGTGGGTAGGACTGGTGCGGGGAAGAGCTCACTGACCCTTGCGTTATTCCGAATTATTGAACCTGCAAATGGCAATATTAGCGTTGACTCCCTCAACACGTCTGCTATTGGCCTAAGGGACCTGAGACAACGGTTGGCTATTATCCCTCAAGATGCGTCGCTATTCGAAGGGACCGTGAGAGACAACTTGGACCCAAGCCATGTCCACGATGATACCGAGCTTTGGACGGTGCTGGAACTCTCCAACCTCAAGGACAAGGTTTCCTCAATGGACGGCAAGTTGGACGCGCAGGTACACGAGGGCGGATCTAATCTTTCCGTGGGCGAGCGGGCCCTAGTAAATCTTGCACGTGCTCTCCTGACTCCATCCAATATCCTAGTGATGGACGAAGCAACTGGCAGTATAGATGCAAGTACCCCCGTAATCGGAGGGCTCTCCATGCTCTTACTCGTCTCCCCACCCCCACATCTAGACATTTCATTTTAGACGTTCTCCACTAACCGAGCGTGATAGGTCGAGACGGACAACATGCTACAACGAACCATAAGTATGTGTCCCGGAATTCTCGTGGTTTCGTGGTTCCAGTGATGCTGATAAACCCTCCAATCGAATAGGAGATAGATTCCGCGACAGAACCATCCTAACAATTGCCCATCGTTTGGGTGAGTCGTCGAAATTCCCTCCCTCCCACTCGATCCCGGGTAATAAGATTTTGTGGGCAGTGCTGACGCTTCTAAAACAGATACAATCATTGACAGGTGATTTTAAACATTCCTTCCCATTATTTATACACCGTCTCCCAGAAGGCTTTGCTCTTGCTTTTATTTTTTTTATAGGCCAACTAACTCTACCCGTGTTTTAGTGACCGAATCATCGTTCTTCAGGCCGGTCGGGTTGCAGAATTTGATACCCCGGAAGCCCTGCTCGGCGACAAAAATTCCTTGTTCTTTGCCCTTGCCAAAGAGGCTGGGCTAACCCAGGCAGGGCCTCCCGGCGAGTTGTCATCCTGAGCCGTGGTGCACGAGGGAATACGGTAGAGCAAGTGGGAGTTGATTGATTGATGGCCGTGCGCACATCTTGAGTGTTTTTTTTTTCCTTTCCCAATTTCCTACCGGAGAAAATGATGTTTTGGTTTTATACCATACTCTGTCGTACTAGAGCTGAATGAATGTTTTTTTTTTCCTTCCCTGTCCGAATATCCGAGTGGTTGAGTTTTCGTTCTTGTTACTTTCCATGTTATTCTCCACCTGATTATTCAGCTATTTTTCTTGTGCCAATGGGATTCTCAAAATGGGATGGGCAAGAGGGGGAGGGGTGGCAGCTCGCCAGCCTTACAAACGAAACTTCCGGCTAATGAAATGTTTTTCCCTTTCCCCCCCCTACGCCCCCCCCATCATTGCTTTTTTTTTTTCCCTTCCGCCTTTTTCCACTGCGCCGTAGGGTATCACAGACAAATGAGCTTGAATGTATGTACTCCAGTACCTTTTAGCTATCATACTACTTGTATACTATACGGTTCACAATATCAACCCCCATTCCCAAGGCGAAATTCCATATCAGCCTACTCTCCCGTCTCTATATTTATTTATTTTCCTTTCTTTTACAGCCCCCGAACCCGAACCCTGCGAGAAATGGGGTTTCCCTTTTTTTTAAACTGCTCATACGGGTCCAGTATCCCGCCAGCCAACCAACCAACCAACCAACCCCATTCTCCCCGCAGCTTTCCCCCCGCCTCGTCCCATCCATCCATCCACACATGCACCACGCAACGTTGAATAGATTACCCTACCGAGGTAAATCCCTCCCAACCTCCACACGAAACGTCAACACGCCAATCCCCCGAACAGAATAATAATATGGAAAAGGCCTCGGAAGGAAGGACGACGAAGACGACAGGGAAAGCCCTGCGCCTTTTTTTTCTCCCCCCCCTCCACACGCCCCCGCCAAGAATTGTTTACGCTTTCTAGTCTGGGCGGTGCTGTACCGTACCGTAGTGGTCACTGGATATCATTCGTTCGGGAAGTCCTCGTATGAAATATGGTAGTCTACTGCGCATCGTGATGGATTTGCTTGCTTGCTTGAGTGTGACAACGTAGCTCCACGCGCGGAATCTGTACGATAGAAGTAAGAAGAAGAATAGCAATGGGATGTGCTGTTGTATATCGGTTTGGTCATTCTTTTCTTCTCTTTATGATATCATAACTATACTATATATCTATCTATCTATCCAAAACTGCCCTCCCCCCCCTCGCAGTATCATACAGTTCTGTAACCGCCCTATCTATCCATCTACCCTTATGCACCGTGATGGCGGAACGACCGCTGATCCATACGATATCGTAATATCACGACTGCGGCCTTGTTCCATCTCACCTGTATCATACGTGTTTTGTATCATACCGTACCTATCCCAGAGTGACAATTCATTCTTGCCGTACAGTACCGTTATCCCTACCCCTACTGCGCTGTCGTCGTCGTCGTCGTCACCGTCGTCGTCGGTGAGGTGGGGTGGGGTGTTTATATGGGTTGTGTATGTAGCATCATAGGTAGTGTGCCATTGATCGGAGTCAGAGCTATGATGGTATAACACGTACTGTATTTAATTAATACCTTCAGCGCTTGGGAGTGAACATTGTATGAACATGATGCTATGCTTTTTTTCTTTCCGTAACCGGATAAAAATGTACTGTACTGTACAGCGCAGTCTTGAAGAATGAGTCACTCGGTGAAATAGACAGTGGATCGTTATCGTTTTGGATAGGTTCGAGTGGGTGGTGGAGTATATACTGTTATAGTACAGTACAGTACATAGTTATAGTAGACTATAGGAATTCCACGAATGGTTTTTTTTTTCTTTTTTTCTATTGTTATCCCCTTCCGCTGGCGGGCAATAAGCCCCCCATTCCCCCACGTATTGATTTGGAATTCTGCTCCTTCCCTTCCTCTTCCCTGCTCCTTCCTGGTAAGGATATATTATAGCTGTGACGCACTATAAATCACCCCCTCCCCTCAAAGCAAAAAAAAAAAAAAAAAAAAAAAAAACCAAAGTTCCAAAAACTCAAACTTGGGAAAGTAAGTATAATAAGGGATGAAAATCAAAGATGATGATGATGTCAAGATTACCGTTAAGAATTACGACAATGATGTTATTGCTATTATTATTATTATTATTTTTTACGAAACGTGGGTTTGTAGGGGTGGTAAGACTATTCGTAAGGTTGTCCACACACTCGTACGATACCAATAGATGTACAGTACTGTACTGTAGGTTCTTCTCCCCTCAGGCAGGCAGGGAGGGAGGGAGGCAGGTAGGCAAGGCTAAATATCAGATATTCGTACTAACGGAAAATCATCATGCGTGCCCGGTAGTCTGGAAATCACAACCATAGCTGGGTAATACGTTACCGATCAACCGAGTTTAAATATTTATTGAGTGAGTGAGAGTTTATGCATAGTATGCAGTTTTCTCGAAAAGGGGGCGGAATGGTCTATATACGATACTATCTACTCGTAGTTGGGGCAGGCAGCTAGGGATGGAGTTGTTCCGGTGTCTGTCTGTCTCTCTGCCTCACCTCGCCCGCTGGAAACCTTTCCAATTGTTGAGAGCGGTCGTTGGTATTTTGTTACAGGGGGCAGTGCAAAGGACTAAGAGAGTTCGTGTCTAGTGTTATATAAATGCTCAAACACGAACGAACGAAAGAACGAACAGTGGTTCAATATATCCTCTCATACCACATGTACACCGGTATGTTATAGTAAATTGGAAGTGTAATGAGTTAGGGTTTTCGGCCTTACCATACCATACCTTACCTTACCTTACCTTACCTTACCGCTTCAAACACCCCCCACTTCTCTACCCCTACGCTGGGGATGTGTTGTTATTATATATTAGCGGTGAATTGTACCATACGGTAGAGTATTTGCATACGACGCCATCTCCACGACGAGAGGACCAGAACGTGACTGCCTCCCATCCCATCGCAATGCACGCACACTCGCTAGAAGGTCTCTTCCTCCTTCTCTCTTCTTGAGCCTTAGGACGACGGGATTGGTCGAGCCCGAATCTGCCATCATCCATCAAGTACTATCTGCAAACGGCATCATCATACCAGTAAGTTAACGGTAACGGCAACGGTAAAGTACAACGTCACCATCACAAGAGTAACAATAATAACAATAACACAACAACCTTCACCTTCACACAAATACCTTTTAATTTCATTTATTTTAATCACTGGTAAAACCTTCCCAAATCCAGATTCGGGATATTTCTGGAGGGCCCATCCCATTCCATTAATTATGATTGTATTATATCATGCCGTGTCACAGCATCGTGGTACTCGTACAGTGCAGTACAGTACAGTACCGTACCCGCACATTTATATCTGATTACAAGCCACGATACGAACTTCGAGATTAGTCAACTGGTCATGTTAACCCGTAAGGCGGAATGCACTATAATAACATGTTTACCGTGGGTGGGGTTTGAGTATTAACAGTACAGTACAGTATTCTGCACTCGAGGCGGGGGGGGGGAAGTGTCATTTACAGTATGCGTTTCAGTTCAAAGGATTTTTGAGGTTTCGGTTTCCTTTTTATATATATATAGAGTGGGGAGGGGGGATATCATACGGGTTACGGTATGGTACCCGTTATCGTACCGTAGGCGTCTTGTGTTTGTAGCCTGGTTGGTATGTACGAGTACAGTACGGTACTCGTTCGGTAACTTGTGTGTTACAGAAGGAAGAAAGCGTAAGCTCGGAAAAAAAAAATTAAAAATTGAAAAAAGTACTGTACTTGTATGAATGATGATTGGATACTAGTACTTGTAGCCGTATATACCTTCTACCCTCGCTATCTACCGTACCTGAGTATCCTACTCGAGCACACTTCCGTACTCGTACTTATCTAACCCACCCACTTCAATGCAGGACTATCTTATCTTGGGTAGACTGTCGAGCACTGCAGCCTTCCAGGACATCCTATCATGGACGCACAATACCCACGGTACGGTATCCCGGGGGAGGAAGAGTACTCTCTACTCGTAGGAAGCTATCAATCACATCATACCTACATCACTGAACACCACAAAATGCGTGTGTACGAGTAAAAGAAATATACACTTCAGCCCTCAAGGGAAAAAAAAAAAAAACATGGGACGAAATCATCCCCAGAGGGACATCATACCGGTATGGTACTGCCGTCCTTGTGCCCCCTTATCTGTCTGACGAAATACTGTATCAAAGGCGACAATAATAAACCCCATGATCGACCGAAGGTCAAACCCCCACACGCACACACACACACACAAGACGCAACACAGCCTTGCCGAAACTAAACCCCACCGGTCAGTACCGTATTGTACGAGTACTGTAGCCAGTCATAAGGCATAAGACAAAACACAGGCGGGGGAGGGGAAGGGAAAAAGTGAAAAAAGGAAAGAAGGAGAAAAAAGGAACTCTCTCCCCATCCGGGGCTGGCTGACCACGGAAGCGCCAGGAAGGGGATGAAGGGATGCACTGAAAAAAGTTCCTTTCGAGGACATTTCCCATGTATCAGCTACAAGCGAGTTGTGTACTCGAGGAGCCCCCCTCCCCCCCCCTTTTTTTTTTCCTTTTCCCCTCTTGCCGCTGTCATAGGTCGCGTGCGGATGTGTGTACGAATATATACTGCGCTGTACTACCTACCATACCTGCCCTACAGGTACCCTACGATATGTCGTCGTCTGTGGTATTCCGGGGTGCGGCATTGGTACCTGAGCCCATATCCGCCATGTCCGCGTACTTGTACCGGCAGGGAAGCAAAGTGATACCGGTGTGAGGGCAGAACAGGGTTGCCTGGCCGACTCGGATTTGTATCATTGTTCGGAGACCTGTGTGGGGGTGAGAGTACTTTGGAGGGGAGGAGAGGAGGAGGACCCACTTTCGTGCTAGGGTACGACATCACACGGTACTAGTACCGCACCTCAAGGGACAAGCACGGTATCATAGAGGGTGGCAGGTGGATAGGCAGTGTTCGTCGGGTATGATGGAAGTCGTCCGAACCATGCCAGGCCAAACCATGCCCACCCACCGGAGGGGAAGAGAATAGAGTTTACTCATACCGCAATCCAACTCACCCCCGGAAATCAACCCATCGCATCCTAGCCAACCAACCACGGCCAACCAGAATCAACAC